TCAGGATTTTGTGGCTCTCTGGGAAATTCAGAAGAGAATAATACTGCATGTCACTAGCCCACAACAATATCACAATTCAAAGTATGCTTCTACTGAATACGTATTGGGATCATGCCATCATGCAGTTGAAAAACTGTAACTCAAAGCAATGTCAGTAGGGAATTGTCTGGATAGCCACAGAAGAATGGAACTGAATGGGATCAGAAATGTAAAATGTCCAGCATAATGCCAACATGCAGCAAGTGAACAAATGCTAGAAATCACCTTTGCCACTGTCATCCTCATCAACACCACCACGAGTGGAAGCAAAAATAACTGGTTCTCACTCCAAGGATGGTGTATGAGTCATCCCAGGCCTGCTCACATTTCCAACTCTCCAACTGACAGAGAGCTCACTCACAAGCAGTGGCTACTGATACAGGGAGGAGGACTCTATAGACAAAAGGGCTTCACCTTGAGCACATCCTTAAGCTTTTGCAACCTCAATTTCTTTAACTATAATGTGAAAATACTCAAACCTCCTTCAACAGATTAGAACAAACACTATATGTAATGTACAAAAAGTGTCTGGCACATGAATGCTCTATGCATCTTAGCTTTTCATTCAGCCCAGCTGCCCTTACCTGCCCTGCTCTCTCTGCCCATCTCATTTCCAGAAACTTCACGCATCTATTTTTCTAGTCTTCTCTGCGAGCTTTTGTGACAGTTTTCTGGCCAGAGTGAATTTTCCTATCACCAAGAGCATAAAGTACTTATCTTCTGTGGGCATAGAGGAGTTAGAAGCCCAAAGGATCCCCAAATCTTTCTTCTATGGCCACTGTTGACTCATTAAAAGTCAATGCTTTCAGGCAATAACATAGAAAGAATTCCATTCCCGTGTGGCCAAAGAGTAGTTTCCAAGTGCACTCTCTCTGAGATCACCATCATGATCTTCCTGTTGGCTGGGTAGAGAGTCACTTGTTTTTCTCAAAATCAACTCCTGGATGCCTTAAGTAGGAAAGTCTCATAACAGAAAGCGAAAATCACTTCATTGCTAAATTAAAGCACACTGGGGCTTCCAGCATGTGGACAGGCTGGAGGGCCATTGTATGCACCAGCTGACCTCTGTACAAGCAGCAGGCATTTCCTCTCCCTGTGAGCCTGACACTAGCTGCCTCTGCATCCATTCAGTATAAGTCATAGTCATTGTTCTCTACAAACTGGAAAGCTCTGGGAAGCACTGCTAAAGGGCACCAGCTAACTCCTTAGCATGTCCTACAGGCCCTTCGCAATCGGACCACAATTCCCTTGTTAGACTTTCATTAGTGGCGCTCACTGATACATCTCGCCATTCTCCAAGCCCACCAAAGTCTTCCCTACTTCCTATTCTTTCTTCTACCTGGGATGTCTTTCTTTTTAAACTCTTTTATCTAATGAGTCTTACAATGCCTTAAAACCCAACCCAAATGGTACCTCATGAAGATCTCCCCTGACTTTATATAGTCAAAGGTAATCGTCTAATTTCTCTCATGAGACTTCTGCTGTTGACCTTTCCATGGAGGACTTCATGTGTCCACCCTTTCTTCCCACAAGACCATAAGCATAAGGTCAAGGATAATTTTATAACTCCTGAGTCTGCCCAGCTTGGTGTCTGGTTATCAACACATTTTATTTAGTGAATTGAAAGAAGACAGAAAAAGAAGGATAGATTGAACAGTGCTAATCCTAAGAACATATACTATCCTCCTGAACTTCATATCCTGTGATGCCTGGAAATTACTTTTGGTACGTAGGAGTTGGTAAGAGGACACAGGGCAGCAGAATCATGTCTGCAGAAGGTGGGTGGGCACTCCTGGGTGGACAAGGTGAAGTGAGTGCTGCCGAAAACCATGACTCTCCTGGAAAATACTAAATTCTAGGGATTTTGCAGGTCTGCATTTCTTATTTTCGCCCTCCTACATGTCCATACAGGGCTGATTTTAAAAAAAACTTGAGATAAATGATATTTTGTTAAAAAGTTCTCAATTATTTTTAATTTATTAAACAGCTATAACCCCAAGCCTGATTTTTAAAAAAATCTTTTATCCTATAGCTGCAGTTGCTCTTTGACGCATTACTACCAGGATTATCCTTCCGGTAATTATTGAGAAATTATTTTCACCAATAAACCTGACACCTGCAGTAAGAGTTCTTGCCTGCCTGTGTATTTTCTGGCTTATTTGGTCCCTTTCTATCATGGGACCCTTAATGACCCATATACTATCTGAGAGTTATCCTACTAAAACTCTTTAAGATGGGTGTGATAGCACATGGCTGTAATCTCAAAATTCAGGAAGCTGAGGCAGATGGTCTCTGTGAGTTTGAGGCCAACAAAACATACAAAGTGAGTTCAAGACTAGGCTGAACTACTTGATGAAACTTTGTCTCAAAAAGACCAAAAAATATATAAATAAATAAACAAAATAAAGGACTTTCTTTAGAGGTGCACTATAAGTAATGCATCAATTTTTTAAAATCTTAATTTATTGGTACAGGGTCTCACTATGCAGCTCAGACTCATAGTGATTCTCCTATTTTAGCCTCCCCAGCACTAAGATTACAGGCATGTACCATGCCCAACTTTGGTAGTCAGCACAGCATGCCTGAGAATTCAGCGTTGGCATAACATATAGTACTGGAGGTTGAACCTGGGTCCTTGTGTTTGTCAGGCAGGCACTTAGACCACTGAGCTATCTCCCCAACCATAATGTATCAATTTTTAAATGCTTACAGAGGGAATCCATATCCCAGACTCAGGGAAGCTAGAATGTTGTTCTATAGAAGTTACTGGAATTTTTATATGAGAGCTGTCTAAGAATTACATATGTTGGAAAAACTTTCTGAGTAAGAGGTCAGCATAATGGTCATGGAGATGCAGTTGAGGAGATGCACACTATCAGGCTCTGGAGCAGGCAGACCTGACCTCAAGTGCTGTGTGTGGCATAGGGGTGCAATGTGACTTTGCATGAATTACCAACTTCTCTGTGGTTCAGACTCCTCATTTGCAGAATCAGCATGAAAATCTTCCAGGGTTTAAAATAAGACTAAACACTCTGGGCTGTACCAAACTGTTACTTAATATGAACTATACAACTAAGATACTTTTTTTACTGTCTTTCTCTGCTTCCATAAACATCTCCTACAGAAAGGTTGCACTTGGGTGAGGCACTTCCTTACACTCAGTGGCAAAGACCAAAAAATTCTACCGTATTCAAGCATGTAAGTTTTTTTGAGAATGTTCCCTTGACCCATCTATTATAAATGTCTTTAGTGGGTACAAGTTGATCACCCTTGTCACTGGAAACAGACAAGGGTATTCCATGTGTTCCTACCTACAATGAGATAAACAGTTCACAAGAGGGCTCATCCGGTCCCCATTTAGTGAGCAAACCCTTCATATGGGTCAGCATTGGAGAAAAATGGTCCTTCCTCTGCAAGAGCTCATAGCCCAGAAATTCACTACTTCCACGAATTAACAGCCCCAAGCAGACTGTAACATTAGGTCCCTGAAATCCACCATATGGTAAGAAGTTCGCAAGAGAAGGAAATCTTTGGAAAAATCTCAACTTGCTTTATTGGAAGAGGATCATGGAGCCTAATTTCTCATCTCTGCTTCATTCATTAGTACTTACTGGCCAGTTTGAGGGAGGATCAAGACAAGGGCAAGTCCAGGGGGAACAGACTATAAGTTAATTGACAAGGACCAAGGTAAAGGAACATGTGCTTCCCCGGGGCACCCACATCAGGACTGAAAATGGATCAATTTGCATGTCCATAAATATTAAAACAGATAACATGAATATGCTGAAACAACTTTAAGGTCAAGCAGTCCAGATTAAGCAGTGATTTTTCCTACTATCCTTTCTGACCCAGTCAGTGCGTTCTTAAGCTCCTGCAGAAAGGATTCTGTTTGTCTATAATGCTGGACAACTCAAGTCACCTAACCTAGCCAGAGATAGGGGACAGCAAAATTGGGCAAAGAAGACTTCAGGGCCAGGTAAGCCCTTCAAACCAGCCCTGCTCATAGGCAGCCACCTTGACATCGCTTGCTTTGTGCATGGGGCCATGCTCTGAGAGGACCACTGGAGCCCAAGTCAGGCCCGAGCAGACACAGCTCGCTCCACAGCTCTGTCGGCAGTACTCATCTCCTAGAGACAAGCATATATGTGATGAAGATAAAAGGGGTACCAGGACACTACCTAGAAAATGCCAAGGAGATCTGAAGCTCCCACAAGGTCACCTGGTCCAGATACTGGGGGCAAGGAAGGGGTCCTTGCTGCTGTGCCGAGGTGGGTGCTGTCCCGCGAGATTCAGGGCGTTGGCTGGAGATGAAAAAACGCTGCTCCATGTTTGCTTTCCTAAAAATCACCCTCCCCGCAAACTCATCACCGAAGAGCACCCAGCTGGTGTTTATCCTAAGGGCAGCAAATGCAGTTATTTATCTCTCTATTCCTTGACATATTCTCTAAAGTAATAATGGTCCATTAGACTAAGTTTGGGTGCCCGCCTTCCCACAGCCACCTCCTCGGGAGCATCCTCAGCCGAGGCCGCCGGCGTGGGCTGCAGCCTCCCAGCCTCCACCCCCCTCCTTCTGCCACCTCCCTTTTCCCCTCCCTTCCCCTCCCCCTCCCCCTGGTTATTTGGGAGATTAGAGTTCATTAATTAAATCCTGTGCTTAGATCGAACTGTAACATTATTCCAATCACATTTATCTTGCAGGCGACGGAGGGGATGGCAGCCTCGCTGGAAACGCGCGGGGGAGCCTGAGCAGGAGGCCCGGACGCACGGCGCGGCGCGCTCCATCGCCACGCCGCCGCCGCGGCCGCCGCCGCCGC